AAATACCTCACGGCAAAAGCAAATAGCCACGGCAAAACTAAAGCTATTTTGCTTTTGCTGTGAAGTATTTGGTTTTGCCGTGAGGTTTCTGATTTTGCCGTGAGGTATTTTGTTTTTGCCGTGAGGTTTTTGGTTTTGCCGTGAGGTATTTTGTTTTTGCCGTGCGGTTTTTGGTTTGGCCGTAATGTTTTTGTTTTTGCTGTGAGGTTTTTGGTTTTGCCGTGACAGTTGTGGGCCACAATAAAAAATTCGACCTTTTGCTACTACATTTGATATATTCGTCAACACTTTGGCTTAACAAGCCTACTGGAAATAGCGGAAACCAAATTCGGGTCTACTGTTCTTTATTTAAATTTGCCGGGTTTTCGACACTCCCCTTTAGCAGACATTTTGCACATTACCTTTAAAGGTACGTCCTAATGAATGTTATACCGATGAATGAATTGCAAGACACAGGCAAAGACGAGGAGATTGTCATCACTAAGTCAAGAAACGGCGGCAAGAGGATTCAAAAAGGTAATGTAACAAGAAAAGCTGCATGGTCTAACTGCTTCTGAGGCCCGGTTCAGAGGCCGAACTTTTCATGAGCCGAACCCTGAAGTCGAATTAAGGCCAACCCAAGTTATTTAGATCGGCCGAATTGATTGAGACGCCGATTACTGATAAATAGGGTTTCCTAGGGAAATTAAAATTAGCTAGGTTAGCGTCATTTTATTCTGAACCCCTTTCGAGGCTTCTCCAGTATTTTTAGAACAAGAGACAACTCAATAGAGCGAGCAAAACTAAAAATATAGAGTATTGCAACAGTCAAGTAAATTTTCCTTGAAATATTGCGGTAAGGTTCTCTCAGCTTTGTTGGGCCAACAATGTTGGGAGTACGTGCAAAAGTCTGCAAACGGACTCAACAAGTCTTGCGTCAGCGAATGAACGCTGACCATTACTGCGCCTTCATGCATTCCTTCGCGCCAAATTCTCGCATACGAACGCGGATCAACTCTCAGAGCAAAGCCAAACTAATATAATTGACAAAACGTCTGCTAGCCGCTTACTAGTGGTGGTTGCTCTAAGGAGGTTCAACTATTCAAACAAATACTTTTTCAAGCTCGGCTCACCTTGTCTTAAAACTTTGTTTATTTGAAGAAGTGAAACAACGACTTATATAGGCCTTACTTGCATCCCAACAACAGGTGCTGAAGACACTGTAAACTTCCGTAGGTTTTGGCGAAAGCACAACATGTTCATTCACGAGAGGATGCGGATCACCAGGATGAAGGTCAGTTCTATCTCGACTGTTTTGTTGAATACTTCAACCAACCATTTATTTGCTAAATCAAAACAAAAAAATTACAAAAACAGAATAATAAATGAACTGTCTGATCATGTCAGACTATGTTAAAAAAACTCACAGAATAGTAGAAGCTAATTGAAACTAGTTGGGCTGATTAGATGATAACAACCTCTTAAAAGCCCGCATAAACAAACAAACTGTATTTTGAAACTGTTCGAAAACTAGTTAAAATGTATTTGCATGATTTAGACTATTTTTGCCTCAATTTGGGCTTTTTTTATTATATTTTACGAATAAAACCAAAATAGTCATGGTAGCTTAAAATGTATTTGAGATCTATTTGAATACTATTTGTATAATTTAAAGGTTTTCCCTGTATTTGAAACACATTTTTTATTAAAACTTCATTTTAAACAGAATACTTAAACCATATTTTAAGAACAAGGGCACTGAAGAGTCCTCAAAACCTTTTTCAAATAACATATTTACACTGTGATTAATTAAAAAGAATAACGTTTAATCAGGGATTCAATATGTAGTTTTTACAAGTAAAATACAAAAATAGGTTTTAACTAGAGAGTTTAAACAGTATTTTGAAGGGAACTCCACTACCACGACTTTAAACAGTTCAAAAATAGTATACTTAAAATATGTTTAACGCACTTTCAAGAGGCCAGTTCAACTTTAAAGGTGATTTAAAATGAAGGACACAATGAAATTCTTTCAATCAGGATTTAAACATGCTATTTTCACAGTATTTTAAAGGCGAAATACCAACCATTCCGGTTTAAAAGCGCTGTTTGCTACGATCTTATTAACTTACAAAAGTACACTTCAACTCTGCGGATTGTCTGAAAACGTAGATATTGCTTTTATCACGAATCAAAAATGGGTATGACTTCCTCAGGGACTGGTACGTACTTTGAAAGGTTCTGGTTCAAGTTGTCGGCGGTGCATGCGCTTCCAAGAGTCTTCTTTTATGTGAGTATAACATGTCACTGAAAAGTTTAAGTATACGCTTATTAGGTCTTAATTCCATTCCAACAACAGGTGCTGAAGATGGTGTAATAAACTTCCGCAGGTTTTGGCGCAAGCATGTTCTTCCACGAGAGGATGATCACCAGGATGAAGGTTTGAATTCTATCTCGAATGTTTTGTTGAAGACTCCAACCAATCATTTATTTGCTAAATCAAAAAAAAAAAAATTACAGAAGCAGAATAAATTAAATGCATGAAAGATCGGTGTTATCTGAAGGTCATACATAACGCACGAGAAACAGGGAAACCCTTTAGAGGAAAGTTGAAAAAGTACCGTTACTAAGTAAGTTGCATTATTTGGTTAAAGATATATGGAACTCTACAGTTTGAAAAATAAAATTGGTTGTTATTGGCGAGTCCAAAACACCAATTTAATATAATTTACTCATAGGCTATTATTATTTAGAATAATTATAGTAACAGAAGGTAGTTTTAGCCTAACGGTCAGTTATAATTACATGCAGTGTAATAAAAGGAAAACTAAAAATACATTACACGTAAGGAAATGCCTAGCATCTAAATAATATAATACGCCGCACGCTATCTTAGTGAGTGACAGGAACGACCCGCTTTGAGAGTGTTGATATAATCTGTCAAATTTGACCAATCAGAGGGTATACCAGGAGCTGGTATACCGGAACGGGTCGTTTAAAGAAATGATTACAGGCTCCGTCGCCCCTCCTCTCCCCAGTTTCCTCCCGTTTTATTTTCGTCTTCGCGCTTTCTCAATTCAGCGGACCCGACTATCTCGGAGCCTGCAACAGGCTAGTCTAGATCGCGCAAAATTAGGCGTTTATCAATTTGAAAATTTTGTTTATTGTTGTCATAGTAATATTGATTTTACTACAACCCACATTTTGAAAAATTTCAATTTATAGTCAATCATTGGTGAAAATTTTATAGCAATCAGAAAAGAATAAAATTACTTTTAAAGTGATTGAAAAATATCGGTATGGCCTCTGAAAAACTATTACATCGAAACACCTTAAATACATGAGTAATGAGCTGGTGAGAAGATTATTGTCGTAACTACTAGTGATTGGCTAAAGGTCGCCAGTGATGATGATTTTGTTGTTCTTGCTATTGTTACCCATAGAACAAATTAACGACGATACATGTGGAACTAACATAAGTGAAGGTAAATAGTCATAAATGGTGATAGCCATAAGGAAAAAACTTATCAGTGCTAGATAATTATCATTTATATAGGTAATAGTATGAGCTGTAGTGGCATTTGGCAATAATACCGCGAGTGATATTTCAAAATTGTTTAAAATACCACGAGCCGCGAAGCTGTTGTTGCATTTGGTCGTTTTCCGTAGTCTTTCTCGCGAATAGCTCTGACTTGCTTTTCCCTCCGAGGACTTGTCTGCACACCATTAATTCTCTGTCCTTTGGTATGGAGATTTTACTTTCATTTTAATTTGTCTCTGGTGTCTGTTGAGAGCAGCTAGCCAACATGACCCTTAGACTATCCTGCTCATACTCAGGGCGGTCACTTTTGCGAACTTCGGCAAAAAATCACGAGAGATGCTAGTTCAGTTCTTTGGCATTGTCAAGTTTTAAAATCAATTATGTCGTCGCTAAGATCCCATGGTTGTCGCCCACATCTTCCAAACCTTGATCCAAGTCTTCGTAGTTTTGATTGTATTTTATGTTGACGGATTTTCCGGCGAGCTGCTGTATTTCGTCCGCGGAAATTTCTAGGAACCTGGCCCCCATTTTTTTGCAAACAAAAAAACAAAGATGCGCGACTATGCTTTCGTCATGGTTACTTCGTTATAACATCGTTTTTTCAGTGTGTTATACCCCTATTACGCAGAAATACCACCATTATTAACCAATCAAATCTCAGAAATTTCTTGCCCTATATTATCAATCTAATTGTACTACTACATGAGAAATTTCTGCAATAGTTATTGGCTATAGAGCAGTGGTATTTCAGCTTAATTTGAAATACCTATATGTGACAATTACAAATAAACCTTTACGGGTTAAGTAGTATAAACAAATAATAGCATGATTAGTACCTGATATTTGGCATAAATACCAATCCTGATATTTCAAACCTGAAAAGTCGAAAAGTCACTTGAAAATATTTTATCAATTAAGTCAGTTTGTGTATTAAATGAAGGTATTTTAATTTTTCATTCTGTTAAATGTCAGTTAATTTTTTGGCGGAAAAAAATTCTAGGTGTCAGGCCGGTTGAGGAAGGACATAAGGGAAATTTATGGAAGGGTGTGCCGTGGAGGCCAACAAATCCCCTCATTTCATTTGTTTAATACAAGAGACTCTCTTCTGTGTGCCCAAATACTCCATAACGCTTGGTTAAAGAACATCTCCTTTGTTCCTTTAATCTGGAGTTAAGGAGCTTTTTAAGTGATAAACACTGATCACCCTACACAGCATTTAGACTCTTGCTACCTTGAAGATTCAAACCCTATTCAAGGCATTGGGTCTAGAAAGATGCCCTGTTTAATACGCTAAGTAACGAAATTGCATGCTCCTTAATTTGGAAACCGAGACCTTTCAAAACAATTGTCTGTTTGGCGGCACATACGCGTTAGAGGCCCCGGGCTACCAGCAAAATCGTTCTGCGTTGAAATGACTAGAGTCATATCAATAATTTTCTTGGTTAACCGAATTCATCCTTAGATGCGCTAATCTGCAGGAAATTTTGTTTATAAAATTGCAGCCGAGCTGAAAATTAGAGACACTCTAAAGGACATTGATGACGCATCTCTAGACAAAATAGAAGAGGCTTTCACCGCCAATAATTTGTGCCGCTGTAAAAATCCAGTTACAACAGCTTTTGAGGTTAGTCTGTATCAGCATCAATCCTCTTATATAGACGCTTACAACTACAAGTGATTTGGGAGCGAAGATATTCTGACAGCAAAAATCATGGCGAGACACTTAAAGTTTGAGCAGAAAACCCACCTACGGCCATCTTTTTCTATTTTCTGCGAGAAAAGGTTTAAAAAATCAGTGAAGGTGATTCTCTTCAAACGGCCTTCCTTCTCACATCTCTGATCGGAAGAATTAAGACCTGTGGGAATCAATTAACCAGGCAACCAGGTTGGGGTAAGAGCGCAGTGTTGTATGGTACTAAAATACCTTTCAGTTGGATAAATCTGTCTCAACCATTTTCTCACCGTTTGTAAAGCAAAAATAAATCAACAAAGACAAGAATTATTTTAGGTCACGATATTCATACACATCATAATCATTTCTAGATTCAAGATCAAGCATGTTGGTCCAGCACATCACTGATCCAATTTTGTTGGATGGTGTAATTGTATCCGTTTGAAAGAAAGAAATATTATTCACTCATTTAGGCCGGATTCACCATCATCCATCATCTTCAAGGCCGTCCAATGGTGTTCAGGGGAATCCAAAATTCGCTTTCGCAGCCTAATGTCGGACACCAGTTTTTTATTACTCTCCATGCAGGTTTCAACGAAACTTAGGGAACTCTCCTACTATCGAGACGAGAGTGCAGTATTTTTTACTACGCTAGCAGAGCAGGTTGAGGACTTCTCTGTTACGCTTATGGATCAAATCAACACGAAAGAGGAAATCTCAATTGAGCACGAGGAAATCAGTGATATGGACCCATATGCGTCTTTACTTGATAGCATCACCGAATCAGCTATTCGCTTTTCGCAGAAAAAGGTATATAAACTTTATAATGATATGGCTGCTGGATTTAAACGTTCAACAAAAGTTGCAATTAACCGTGCTAATATACAACAAAGTTGTTCTACGTTTCCTGAGGCACAGAATATCGCAAAGTGCCGAAAAATATTGAGATTCTTCAAGGTATGAAAAAGAGTATGATTTTTGGGCCGTTTGATCTGAAAACGGGTACATTGAATAGACTTTGCCTATTTTGGTCTGGAATCACGGGCGTGGTTTTTCAGGGAACGACGGGAGTGCATCAACGTATTTGTCGTTTCAATTCCAAGTGAATAAGAAAGAGAGTTAGAGTTATATGTGATTTCGAAATAGATTTTAAGGTTATGGGCTCCTGGCATGATGACAAAATTTTTCCTAGGGAAACGTATGTTCCGTTTGTGAGTCCTCCAGGTTGGAAGACGGATATGTATTTAGGGGGGCAGGTCTGAAAAGGGGTGTGGAAATGACATTTTTGGTCTGAAAATGGGGTCAGGATTTGGAGAACCCGGGTGGCACACCCCCACCAAGAGTAACCCCCCACTGGAAATCAGCCTACTGTCTGTAAGGGAATAAATATTTGCAGACAACAGGCCTTACGGGATAACCATTCAAAACCAAAAAAAAGGAAAATGTAAATGAAAATCTGATAAAGAGAGGAAAACACTCCCTCGACAAAGCTTCTGTCGGCGATACATTACGTGAAATAAATAAGAAAGAATTAAAAATAGTACAAGATTTCAATTCGAAAGTAGTGATAATAGCAAAAATGTTTTACTTTCCAACAACTCAACTTTTTTGTGCTTTTATTTTTCCCTAGTTTGTATCCCTTCCACTGTCGTACAGACTGCTGACCCAAAGGTGGAACTATGGTTTGCCACTTGACTGTCAACCAGGGAAAAAATTGAGGTTTCTGGTATATGTATTTATCGTACTCGACACTATTTTGACTCCTGTGTTTCTTCCTCTTATCACATATGCCTTCTACAAGGACCAGGTAACCTGTCTGACTCGTGAAGTGGTTAAACCGAACAAGAAAACATTAAGAGGTTCGTTACCGATGGAAGAACATTATTAAAGCCGAATTATATTCTTTACAAGCACTCCATTAACATAGTTAGAAACAAATAGAAATTCTCAAACTGCATATATTTCAGAAGGACCCTAAATAGGCAATTGGCTCGTAAGCGTGTCAGTGGTAATTTATAGGAATTTTCGAGCAAGTGTTCAAAGGAATTGTGAACCTAGAACTTCCTGTTGCTGTCCCTGTCTCCTTGCAAAAGGAGTTTATCAGAGATCTTAAGTTACGACGACGGCGATGGCAATGAGAACATAAAAAGAAAAACTGAGCAAGAGGTTAAATAATCAAAACACCAACTCTGTAAGTAAGTGCATCACATGTTTTTGTACAATTCTTTGCCGTCACTGTAAGACTACGACGTGAAAGTGCCTATTCAATCTCTTTAATGGAGGACGTAAACAAGCCACGAGGAAATTTTCTTTCTTTTTCTTAACTTGGATATCATATCTTAAAAGTTCCACTTTAGAAGACCCTCTGTAAAAACAAAGGAGACGAATTTCGTTGGAAGAAAAACATGAAAATTTCATAGCGGCGGTGAGAAAATGAGAAATGCTAGCGGCCACCAAGCTGAAATGAGCGGCAGTGAAAAACATAAAAGCGAACAGGAACTCAAGCAACAAAATTTTGATGAGCACAAACGACAATTCCTCCATAAAAAATAATGTGTAACTAGGACGTTTCACCTTTTTGTCGTGCAAAACGGCATTGTAGTAGAAAAAACAAATTTTGAAAAAAAATTGGGTGTCAGAACTCAGTTGCCTTGGCAACTACAATGTTGATGCACACGTCAAAACGACGTTAAAATGTTTCCAGCTAATTCTTAGGAAAAGTCTTGGTGGTTATAGCTTAAACTGTTTTGAAGTTATTCAATTTTTTTCGTCTTGGGGAGAGGGCTCCAAAAGCCCCTCGGTCTGATTAGGGTTACTATAAAACTCCCCATTGACCAAACGTTCAGCAACATCGTCTCTATATATAAACATATCCGAATACGTTTTTGGCGCCTATAAATTCTAATACCCTATATGTACTTAAATCTGGAAATATTTATGAATCCAGTACGTACGTACGCACCTAAGTAATGATATGTAAACGCGGAATTGGCCACGATGTCTAATTACTGGGTTCGACGTTACAACTTATCATGTTTGTATTGCAGATATGTACCTGGACTACTTAACAACCCCCTTCGTCATCTTTTTAAAGGAAACACTACAACAAATAGTGTTCATAGCTTTACACATCAGAATATGCGTATTGGGGTCTCTTGTATCACCAAGAATCGAGGAATATCTCATTCTTGTATTTTACATCGGATTGTTGATCTCTGAGTTTCAGCAATATTATACATCTGAATCCAAAGTTTATTTTCGGTAAGATGGCAAGGCTAAGACCTTTAATAAAGTAATTAACTTTCCCGTATAACCCTTCCTCAGACCTTCCTTATATTAGTCAATGAATGTTTATTAATTGCGAGTCAGAAAAGCTTTTGAAACCAGACTTAGCTTATCAGTGTTCCTTGGTCCAGCTGTCGGTCTGACTCTGACTATCTTCCAATGACGAGTGGGCTCCTCAACTGAGCGTAAGTTTGAAAAGAACTTTCATAAGAGATCCACATATTCAGCACTTGTCACAAACCTGAAAAAAATATGTATTAATGCAGATCAAAGGGTTTTAGCACAAAACTTTACCTCTTCAGGAGCTACAGTGGTGGTTAGAGGGAGATTTGGATTCCCTTGTTTGCTCATCCTCTATAAATCATCTAGACACTGTTCTTTAGCAACATAAACTCAAGCAGCAATACAAATAAATATATATATTATTCTAGAAAATCAAAAATAAAAAACAATTTTCACTTCTATTATAAGAGTGAGAGTTATATGAGTCCAACATTTGGATGCTTTAAATTATTTATGAAGATAACATACTGTAGTTAATGACATTTTGTTTTCCATGCTTTGTTGATCGAAAGGTAGTTTTTGTTTTCTTTTTTACTGTTTACGCCCGACTTACCGTGAAATTTTTACTTTGCTTACCGTATGTTAAAATGGTACTCATTTGTAAAGTTGTTCTTCACAAAATACTTCTTAGTCTTGTCTTTCTTCTCCAGAAATATGTGGAACTATGTGGATGTCATTACCCTCTCCTGTCACGCCATCATACTTGTCCTCAGAGTTGCGTCCATCATTAAAGGTGGAGATCCGTACCATAACAGACTACTGGCGGTAATTAACTATCTCTACGGTGTAAACACTCTGCTCCTAGTCTTGAGGTTTTCAAGCATACTGGAATTAAACAAAACAGTTGGACCACTTCAGTTGGCTTTGTTCAGAATGATCGTCGATCTTATGATCATTTTAGTTCAGTTTGTGTTTGTAATTTTGGCTTTTTCTGTTGCCATCACAATGATCTACACCGCCGAGATGTCTTATTTGACGCCAGCACAAGAGGTGGAAACCAACCGGACCCAGGTTAAAAGGTGAGGCTAGCGCATGTTTATTTTTTCCTTTTTTTTCTCTCGCTGCTTTCATCTTAAGTTCTTTTTTTAACCGGAAATTAACAGATGTGTATCTTTGCTAGTTATTTTGTTTTATTTTTTTTTAACTTATTCTTTGTAAACTTATTTTTTTTAGCTTTTGTGCGAGTGGGTCATCGTCTTGGTAAGTTCTTTACTCACGTGATAAAAAAAAAAAAAAACAAAAAAAAACTTCTTGCCGAGTTTTATAGACCTAAACTTTTTAAAGGCCTCGGGAATTCATTAACCCGCAGATCAGGAGTTGCGTTTTTGTTCTAATCCTGCCCCACGATAAATCCTTCCGAAATTGGTTTGCCAGATGATGTCCTTTTAATCTCAGCAAGAATTTTCGAACACTTAACGCCAAAGCTACAACAGCTACTCTACGAATCAAAAAAGTGTCAACAACAATTAAAATTTAAATTTTGCTGGGCCGAAAATGGAGCTGTCCTCATGAGAGAAACCGATACGTCTCGGATCTTCAAGCTCTATTCTATGGATGATTTAGCGAAGTTAAGCTCTGGCTCAGCGCCTTAAACTGCGCTATGGATATGTATATTTAGTGATGTTTTATGGACTAATATTTGCATCGTACGGACATGTTAATATTTGCGTCGCATGGACAAACAATCTGAGGTACGCTAAATGTATTATTAATTATTCTTCTTTTCATGCCCTTACGTGACAAAAGAGTAGAGAGAGAAAACAAACTTCTACTTAAGGGACTACCTTACTATGGGTGCAAAGATCTTGCTTCTGCACATCAGCAATTTAATAATTTGCTCACATCTGCTCTGTCCAGAAATCAACTTGACAAATTTAAGAGCTTATTTGACCTTGACCTCTTTAATTTGAATGTACCTACAGATCAACAGGTCAAAGTCAGCAGCAGTGCTCATAGCCAACTTAGATGCAACTACTTTTCTCCTCATAATTTCCTCAGGCAAAAACATAGGCTAGCTCAGCCTGACAACCTTTTCTCTATCTTACATAATAATATTAGAAGTCTTAGCAAAAATCTTGAAAACCTCCAGAATCATCTACTTAATGAGTTTGATACTCATTTCAGTATAATTGAAGTATCTGAAACTAGGATAGTTAAGGATAAACCATTACTTTTCAAACAAAATTTACTTGGCTACAATTTTGAACATGTACCAACCCCTCTATCAGCTGGAGGTGTTGGGCTTTACATAAATGAGCTTATCCCCTACAGAAATATTCTAGAAAAGGAATCTATATCATCATTTCAAGCCTTGTGGTGTGAATTAAACATGCGCAAAGGAAAAAATATCATCTGTGGAGTGCTCTATAGGCAGCACAATTGTCCAGATCATTTCCTAGATTATCTGTCAAGCAAACTTGAAACTCTCTGCGCCCGAAATAATGAAATTATCCTACTCGGTGACTTCAATATAGATCTCCTTAAAATTGAGAGCTGCGGTTATAGCCAAAAACTTTTTTGAAACTTTACAAAGTCTATCTCTACTTCCAACTATCGATAAACCCACAAGGTCTTATGGTAGCTCCCCTACCTTAACCATATTCAGACTGGGGGGGGGGGGCTTTTCGAACCCCCCCTCCGGCAAAATCGTGATAACTCCTACGCCGAAAGAGCTATGACGTTGAAATTTTCTGACTTTTCCTAAAATTTATCTAGGAACATTTTGGTATAATTACCATGTCCATGTGATTAATCATGTTGCCATGGCAACCAGTTTCTGACACATAGGTTTTGGAAAATTTAAAAAATGGTGATTTTTTTGTTTTAAGATCGCGTTTTTACACCTATAGTGCTTTTTGTTGTTAAAATGGTCTTTGCTTGGGACTAGTTTTTGAATTACATCAAAATTTTGTAACATCGAATATTTGGGGGGGAGGGGTGGGGTAAAATTTGTCACTTTTTTGCTTTGACAAATATGCTGCTCTATTTTCCAAATAACACTTCCAAAGTCATTTGTTTGGGTAATAAACATTAGTTTGATACTTCTTTTATACATTCGGAGCTTTTTCCCCTTTGAAAGTTGCTTTAAATTATAATTTTAACAAAAAAACGGAAATCCAAGATGGCGGACAACCATTTCAAATTTTAAATTTCATTGCTTCCTATTGCTTTTTCTCGCTGTACAAGTGTTTCCTTGTTACTAGTTCATAAGAAAGGAGATGACTTTACCAATATTATTGATATTTTACGTATCTAAGTAGAAAAATAATAAGAAACATTGAAAAATCGGAATATGACGTCACTGTGACGTCATCATTGGGCGTGGCAAGTCAAAACTGGGTGTGGGGCTTCTTTGTACGGAGATGATCATTGTGTGTAAATTTCATGACCCTAGCATTATTGATTCCTGAGATACAGGGGGGGTCCAAGGAGCCCTCCCCCAGTCACAGATTGACCAAAAAAGCCCAGTCTGAATAGGGTTAATTGATAATATTTTCATTAATAGCCTAGATAAGTTTGTACTGAGTGGTAACATTGTGTCCGACATCAGTGACCATTACTCACAGGTTTGCTTCCTGTCTAGCAACCTTCTTTTCTAATAGTAGAATCCGCAAACGGGATCTTTCATCATTTAACCAAAGTGATTTCAACAATGATCTCGAGCTAATCTCCTGGCCCCCTAACTCTGATGCTGACTGTGCATTTTAATGTCTTTTACAAAAAAAACTTAACAGACTAGTTGATAAGCATGCACCTTTTAAAACAGTATCTAGACGTAAATCTAAGCAGATGGCAAAGCCTTGGATAACCAAAGGCTTACTCACCTCTATACGTAAGAAAAACAAGTTATACCACGATGATCTATGGGATGAGTACAAATTGTATCGTAATAAATTATCACTGTTAACTCGTTTAAGTAAAAGGAATTACTAAAACTCCTTTTTCGAACTAAATCTTAATAATATGAAGGCAACCTGGGAAGGGATTAATAACCTAATATCTTCCTCCAAGAAGAAAGTAAACCAAATTTCTATTATTAAAAAACCTGATGGTAGTCTCTCAACTGACCCTAGTGAAATCGCAAATGTGCTTAATAGGCATTTTGCAGTGTGGGACATAACCTTGCTTCCAAACTACCACCTTAAGCACTCATTTAATGAATATCTCACTAACAACCGTTTGCCAAACTCTTTTATCTTTGAACCCATTATTCCCAATGATGTCAGTGCCCAAATTCAGGCCTTGCCCCTCTACAAGTCTTATGGCATGTTCTCTTGTCCTATTAAAATCCTAAAAGGCTGCAAACCCATTATTAGCCAACCACTTGCTAACATTTACAATTTATCTGTCATCCAAGGTAAACATCCCAGCAAACTAAAACTTGCGAAGATTGTGCCAGTTTATAAAGATGATGATGAGTCCTGCGCAAGCAATTACAGGCCTATTTCTCTTTTGTCCATATTCAATAGAATATTTGAAAAACTAATGTATCAAAGACTCAGTAAATTTATCATTAAGCACAATATATTGATTAACTCCCAATATGGCTTTAGGAGTGGTTATAATACTCAACATGCAATTCTGGATATTGTTAATACAATTCAAAGTAATACGAATAGTGGTAAATTCACCTGTGGACTCTTTATAGATCTGAAAAAAGCCTTTGATACTGTTGATCACTATATTCTTCTTCAAAAACTTGATTTTTATTGGCATCAGAGGTATTGTTAATGATTGGTTCCGATCTTACCTAACCTATAGGAAACAAACCACTTCAAATGGCTCTTGTATGGTGTTCCACGGGGCTCTGTGCTGGGCCCACTTTTATTCTTATTGTATGTGAATGACATTGCAAATTCTTCAAAGTATCTTTCGTTTTATTTATTTGCTGATGATACAAGCATTATTTATGCAAACAAGAATCTCCATAATCTTGAACAGATAGTTAATTCTGAACTAAGTAATGTCAGTGACTGGCTTTTAGCCAATCAGCTAACCCTTAATTTCAAAAAATCTAATTACGTGCTTTTCCGTCCTCGGCAGAAATGTTTAACATATAATCCCTCCATCAAAGCTTATGATCCAGCTATAAATGCATTGAGTACCTTAGAAAAGAAAGATTTTGTCAAATACCTTGGTGTTCTGATTGATTATGAACTTTCCTGGAAAAACCATATTAATCTAATCTGTTTAAAGATAAGTAGAACCGTGGGAATTCTAGCAAAGCTTAGACATAGTATTCCATTACGTCCCCTCTTAAATATCTATCAAGCCCTTATCAACCCCTATCTTTATTATGGCATCTGTGCTTGGGGCTCTGCACCTAAAACTTATTTAAATAAGATACTCTTAATTCAAAAACGAGCCCTACGCCTGATTTACTTTACGGATTATAAGCAACATGCTGTACCATTTTTCTTAAAATCAAAAGTCTTTCCCCTATCTTTTATTTACTTTGATTGTCTTTGTAGTATCATGTGGGACGTTGCTAACAATTCTGCACCTGAAAATATCAAGAGAGCCTTTACTAGGATTTCTGAGGTGCACTCATATCCTACCCGATCTTCTCTCAATGATGATTTCTATACCGAACACTCAAGGCTTGAAAAAATGCGTAGTTCTTTTCTAAGAGTACGTTGGACCAAAAATCTGGAATTCTTTACCCTCAGATATGAGAAACTTACCAAAATCTACCTTTCGGAAAAAGACAAGGAATAAGTTCTTTGAAATTTTATCTAAATCTGATGACTATCTTGAAATCACTGAAATCATGAATCAACTTAAATTTAACTAGCTCAGGAACACAACTAAATTTATATTCTCTGTGTAAATCATATTGCAATTAAATTAGCTTAATACATATTATAGTTTTTATTTTGCGACAGCTGATACTGTTTGTAAAATAGTTCTTTTTTTTCCTTTTCTTTCTTTAAATTTGTGTGTCTCTTCCCCCGCCTCGATTAGGCTCTCCTATACGCGGGTGGAGGCTATCGTGTAATTGTAAATTGAAAGTGAATGAATAAAGTTGAAGTACGCCCGCCCCCTCGATACATTTGAAAATGAAGATAGCCGTGACGGTAAGAAGCTGTGTATCTAAACGATCTCACGAAAAAATAGGGGACTGTGAACAGTCTAACTAGTGTAGACTGTTCACAGTCCTCTATTTTTCCGTAAGATCATTGAGATCGAGAGCTTTGCGTTACGGGCTACCCATCTTGCATGAGTGTCAAAACTACCTAAGGGACGGGGGCGGTTTGGGAGGAAGCGAGAAAAATAGAGTAAAATCAAGATAGCCGTGACAGTAAGAAGCGGTGTATCTAAACGATCTCACGAAAAAATAGGGGACTGTGAACAGTCTACAGCTAGTGTCAAAATATAAAGAATGACGGATGGACGAAAGACCAACTGCAGAAATTCTATAATGAAAATAACAAGAAAGTATGCATTTGCCTAAATCCTCTTTCCTATGATTATAACGTTAACTTTTTTAACGATGCATGTCAGTAACTTTCCCACAAAAGCGTTAATACCGCTGAAGTACTAGTTCCCTGGCAATTTCAACATATTTTATCTGTGCTATTTTCCATTGCATAGCTTATTTAAAGCATCTACCCATCTTGTATGGTCAGTCTTTGGCCTGACGAATCTGGAGACCCTGGAATCCCATGACACCTGGTCAGATACAGTCGTTGGTATCCTCTACGTAATGTTTCTGGTTTTAACTGTCATTATGCTGATCAACATGCTAGTCGCTTTGCTCAACAACACTTACAATAAAGTGGAGGTAAATAACGTTGCCGTAACTGTTTGATCATCGAAATCGGTTGAAACTTTTATTCTGAAAAACGCAAATCAACAACATAGCAAACACGCATATAATTAGGTTCGGGCCACAATCTACGTTGGGAGGTTCGACTGTGAGTGTTATTTTAAAGGGACTATGTCTCGCTTTTTGCTATCTTTTCAAAAAGCTAACTAAAGACTATTTTCCAACCAATCGAATTTCAAAAATAATGGTTCAGCAGACACTAGAACTGTTTCCTGCTCTTTATTGCAGACGATGACAAAGAGCAGATTTTACTTAAAACAGTAATATCCTTGTGACAAAGACCCTCTAAGACCTTAAAAGAACTGAGAGCTACTTAGAAGAGTGAAAGCAAGACGTCGAAAAAAACAATCAAATATGTCTATTTTTATTGACTCGACACCCGCAGGAGATAATTAAGAGCAGTTGTCTGTAAGATTCGAGCTATATTAAAAAGGCGCTGCCACACTATCTCACCGAATTGGCTAAAAATTGGCATGTAGACTTGATTTGAGGTCTTTAATAAGGAATAGGTAACTTTAGGTTCTAATTCCTCCTACTTCGGAAATTATCGACATGGCCGGTTTTTGGGTGCCTCGGACCGGCGCCATATTGGTTAATAGAAGCTACTTTTGAGCCTTCGACTACAACCCTGTCTTCAAAGCTAATCTTCCTTTGCCAATACAGATTGAAAGAACAATCCCTCTTTATTGTATTTTTAGAAACTACTTCGAAATTGATAACGTTTTCGCAACGATCGATTAAACTTTTGGTGGGTATACTTTTTGAATTTTTTACACCCGCAAAATTAACAGAATTTTAAAGGCGTATATCTCATTTGCCACATCGCATTGAAACTTGCCAATCTTCCTGAATACTCACTGTTTGTAGTTAAATCGAGTTCATCAATAAAAAAATTGGGCAAATTTAACGGAGCAGAAACAAAAGTAATGAATGGAAGACTGTTCTAGCGACTTTGTCAATAATCTGTACACCGAATATTCGCCAGGTGTTGCCAAAATTACAATCGATAATAGAGTTTGTCATTAAATCTGAGTGATCTGTGTAATAAAATTAGCCTCTGTAATATAATCGATAACTCTGCTGCGAAAAACAGTATAAAAAAAGGCAGATTGTTTAAGGAAAAGGAAAATGAATTTGTTATGTTTATGCTATGACGCGTAAACAAAATTCAACCATCACAGTCGAACTGGAATTTTCCTGATTTTCCTCCAGTTCCTTTACCGAAACCAGAGCTTTTAAAATTAACCATAGTAATGAAAATTGAGATGTATTACCTTACTCGACGACAAAGTTGCCAGTTTTCACCTTGATCGAAAAAAAGTAATATTTTCCCACGCATATCGCGGGTCGTCACGTTCCTTGCCTGGCGTTACAACTCACGTGAAACCGCCTGGTTTCAAACAACTGAACTGAAGAATCCGCGAAAATCTTAGCCAGGCAATAAATAATGGAAGTTGATATAAGTTATCATTATTAGTGAGCGAGGATCGATGCGATGATAGTTCCAGCTACATGTGTTTACAGCGTTTGAAGATTTACTCAAAACTCATGAGACATGAGCCCTTGAAATAAACATCATTACTTCCGGTTTTAAAAATTGGGCGTTGGCAAAGTAATGAATAGACTCATTCTACCTTGTACACCGTTAACAACGGTTCCGTGTACAATTTTCAGGTATTTTGTCTCAATCACGAAGCCCGTTTTGAGGAGATTCTTGATAAACAGAAAAATTGGTTTGGAAGGGTTTAAGAAGAATGAGGGATGAGCCCGGGACAGCAAAAACCACAGTCACCCCACCGAAGGGCTTTAAAACTGTGCGCAAATGCCTCACCCTAGGGACAATTCCAGATTTTTGTTTCCTTGAAAAAGCTTAAAATCGCTAGACAATGCATGGACAACTCAAGACAGTCCTAATTCAAAATAAAGTAAACAGCAAAGAAAATTCAGTTAGAGACCAGAGTGTTTATCCGATATCGCGAACAATAAGGAGTGATTGAAGATGTGTCTGCAGTTTAAGGTAAAATCATTTACCATGCTCACGGACCTTTCGACAACATAAGTGTACCGATTGACGTAATATCAGTGGTAAAAAACGAACGCTGTTTACTGTAGGACGATGACGTCATCATACAAAAGGAGTCTTCACTCTGACATCCAGAATTTCAAACAGTCAAAACCTAATTTTCTCTGCTCGTCAAATGAAAAACGCCTCTGAGGACAAGTAGTGGTAATGTGCTTGTTAGTAAGACGTCCAACATAAGGAGACATTCATAATCAACTCGGTTAATGCATTGATAAAGGGAAACTTTCTCCTTTACCCTTAGGGACAGAGTTCAAAGGCGCAAAAGATTTTTAGTTCAGCTCTAACATGTGTCGTCTAGCGATTTGCCTTGAGCTTCTCTAAATTTTCCAGATCAAACAAGCTGTGCCCATCGTACATAATCTTGTCTGGGCTCCCTTGAAAAATTGCAATTCATCAGATGCCTTCAAGTTCATCCTCCGCCGCGACAACTTCGTGATCTATTTTAATGGGTGGTTTTCTGGAACTATCCTATGGCTTGTCCTTTCTGGTCGTCACTATATTAGCGAACATGTTTCAATTTCTCTCCAGCAAAAGTCTCTATCAGGAGCGTGGCCAGGACTTTCCAGGTGTGCGGAAAATTTCCAAAACTTAGCCTAACATCTTACTCAGTTCTCTCGCAACGTTTCCCCACTACATTTGCTAATTCTGTTAACTAGGTGAGGTTATGCGTGGATGAAATGGCACTTGCAATCGGTGAGAAAATTAGGTTAGACACTTTACCCTCAAGGACGACTCTTACGTTTTGCTTACACTTTCTACCTTAGAAGAGATAAGTGAAGCTTTGCCTTCCCCACTCCGTGTAAAAAAATGTCGTTCGGCTGTTCAAACTACTTTTAGGAAACAACAAACTTCCCAACTTTAATTTTTAATAAAGGTATAAGGGTAGGAATCCAAATTTTTTTGGAGTATTTCACTAATTTTAATATGATGATTGTAAAGTAGTGTCTAGTGAGTACGGGGGCTAATGCCCCATCGTAAAAATGTGAAATTGAAAACAAAAATCTTGTATAACCGAGTAGTACACAATTTTAGTTATTTTATTGAGTTGTGAAAAATCACAAATTTGTTTCTTCTTGAATGTGTTATACTCTCATCCATTCAGTCTTTCCGATATGCCCGTCGGATAGCGGAAGTTAACGTAATGCACCTATCAATGTAAACCCCGTGGGGGGGGGGGGAGTGCGGGCAAGGGGTGGGGATTTGACAAATTTTAAAATTTTTCGATCAAATTCCCCAGGGTGGGAAACGAAAGGTCAATCAAAAGTGTCAAAAAAGCCCCCACCCCAGGGGAAAAAATCTAAACAAACAATGCTATAATACTATATAAAACGAATAAAAGAACATTTCAAACACATTGTTACTACTTTTATTTACGGTTAACGGAAGCTCCATTAAATTACTCGCTGTAATTAAGTATTTTCTCTCTCCACTAGCATCTCTTATCTTGAACAACAAAATCACTTCAGGAAGATTGACCGTGCTGTATAATATTAATAAAACGTAAGATCCTTTATAACATCTGCTCAACATGTCGGAACAAGTCGGATCAGTGACCCATAAAAAATCCTCTGACTTTCATGGCGGAATTCGATTTCAATCGAGGTTTACAATCAGATGGGAACTTGAAGATAAAAATTTCCTCAAAATAGACATTATCTGTTTAGATGACAGTTTAAAGTATCGCATTATGGCAATTAAAACAAATGAAAACTTCATACCTTTCTCCAACAACGTGACTTTCAGGAAGCCTCGAGCGGGGACGGACTTGCTAACTGCTTCTGAATTGATACCTGACTTCTGTCGGTTAAAGTCAAATGTCCCGACCCCGGGGTCGCTTCGCACGATCAAAAGCCGGACAGCGGGGATAGTCCCAGGCATCAAATCCCCTCCCCTTGCCTGCACTCCCCCCCCCCCACGGGATTTACATTGATAGGTGCATAAATGATCGATTACCTGAAAAGAAGCTACCATCCTAACTTTCCACCTTCGGGTCTTTTCCCTAGCCATAATGTTTTTCCCTCAAGGAATTTTTCTCTGTTTTACATAATAATTGGTCTTGCATTCAGCTTATCGATTTTGAGAGCCTAGTCCTATGCCGTATTCTGATGCGATCTACTTTATGTAGCTTCCCCCCCATCTAACAGCTCCTTACTGAACAAAAACGGCTTTAGTTGAGTCTATTCACTAGTCAAAGAACTAGCCAATATTTTTCCAGCGGTAAGCACAATGTTCCTAATTCCCCCTAGTCCCCTTCTTAGACGCTTTCATGTACATCAGGTGTTAAATTTTCTTTTCATAAGCTACAATGCTCATAATCGCGCATTCTGATGTCATTTATGCTTAAAAAGTTAAAAATTAGTTTATCGAAGAAAGAGTGAATTAAAGGTGTCATGAGGCGTTTGTGATTTCATGAACTATTTGACGCGGTCCTTTTCTTACGGCTTATGTCCGTTGGTGAAATCGCTACTTGGGTTTTCTTGGATTGAAAAGGGCGGGCTCTTTCTAAAGGTGGCGTTGTTTATGGGACCTTAGTATTCAGAACAGAATCAGTCGATGGCAAACAACGAAAAGGCTTTTATGTGGTAAGTTACAGTGATGAACCTTGCCTCGAGATGGTCATATTTTTGTACATACCTTCATGCAATTCAGTGTTGGTCTGAAAATTTTTTGTCATGGATGGGGGAAGGGTGGGGGAGAGATCAGAACATGTACCTCGTGTTGTTTACGAGACATTAAAGTAATGAAAACTGTTAAACAGTCTTCTACAAATCAAAATAGTTGTAAATGCTTACGGGAGGCCCTAACTATATGATGATAAGAAGGGCTATATTTGGAAAGGTGCATGGTCGTGGAGTTAAGGGGATTTGACTAATCAACCAATTTCCCGCTAAACCTGCGCTAAACATAAGGGCGTGGCCAGTGCCCCCCAAAATTGTGTTCGCTCGCCCCGGGCTGGCTCGACTTTTGGGATACGGTTATGGGGTTATAAACAATGAGTTCATCATCTATGTAGCCTACTCGCCCCAAGTGACTGCATTTCGCTTTTCAGAGACCCATCAGTTACTGTATGACCCTCTCCGATCAGATTTTATGTCCGTGGTACTGGTGGTGAGGTCAGTCTACAAGCAGAGTCGTGAAAAACACCGCCACTTGAGCCTTTACGTTCAAAACATTCCTGGCTATCGGGAAAAAAAGAAGGCGCCTTCAAAAATACTAAATAAAATGTCATTTCAAATATCACTTTGTCACCGTTCGAAAATTATTGTGAATCAGACCGAATGAAAGTTCGCTCAAAGAGGGGGAGGGGGGAGGGGGGGGTTGGTAGTTCTTAACAGTTACAGTTAGCTAGAAAATTAAAAGTTACGAAAAAATAGTGGGCGAACTGCAGAATACATGCACGAATGAGAAAGAAAATAGAAAACAACTTGCTGTTCAAATTCGGGTGAAACTTTTAATAGCGTCAAGAAGACTGAACTTGATTGAGGTTGTTCATTTCAGTTCCGTTCCAGCGTGCAGTTCCTTGTCCTCCTAAAAATAGCTTCGTCTCCCACCGATCATTCCATGTCATATTTTGCGGACTCGGACTTATTGTTCAGTAATGACGGTACGATCAGGTAATTTGACTTGATGAGTTCTTTAATTTCATTTCATGTACTAGTTTTATATCTTACGCGGGAAAGATCTGCCAAACAGTGTACATTAGCAAAGGTAGGTTCCTGTTTACACGTGTAATTATCGAATACCATACAATTTGCATAAAGCTACAGTGCACGGTTGGTTTTTCTAGCCTTTTGATTAAAATTGACAACGTTTGCGTTATCTTTGCCTAAGAAAATATGTAATTTGTAGCTGTATACAGCGAAATACTACAGAGAAAATTGTAACTGTGCAGTACACGAGCGGCTCCCGATTGGTCTGGGAAATCGAAGAGCGACTTTGAGCTAGTACCGTGTGTAACAAAATTTATAATTTTCATTTTAGCGCATATTTCAAGCTCTTCGCAAGATCAGAATCAAAAGATCATCTGTTTACATTACAAGGGAGGGTTTTTTAAGCGATAGAGAGGGTTTAAGAGGCACGATCAATTTTTAAAGAATTTTCTTTTCAAATATTCACCGAATTTTGTTTTGAAGTTTTAGCGGCCAAGTGGCTGAACCACTGCGCATTCATGCAATCATATTTCTGTTCCGTTGCATTTGCCCAATTATTTTATTCAACAATCTAACTTAGCCATAAACAAACTATGTTTACTTAAAATGGCTTAGTCTAAATCGATGTGGCATGGGTGATATTGGCCTTCCAATTTCTACCAAATTTGTGTACCGTTTAAGTACCGAAAAAGTGCTGTGAGAAGTTATAGCCGTTCGTAGCTCAGGCTTAACCATTTTCAGATAAGAGTAGGTAAATGAAAGGAGGAAGGATAGTTCTTTGCAACTGTATGAGTCACGATTACGTTATTTTAATGATAAGGTTAGAATTAATTACTGTAAATCTCCTTCAGTTCACCAACATGGCGGCCGCTCGAGGCCTCGTCAAAACTGTCATTCCTGTATCTTTGAAACCAACGAGAATTCGAACCTTAGAATATGCATTCAGCATTTAGGACACCATTCTAAGACTACATGCCAAAAATCAGCCAAATCGATGAGGTACCGTGTCAGGCCGAAGTTCGAATTTTACAGAAAATCACTCTTAAAGCATCTGGGTCCCCTAATATGCACTCTTTAAGACATATGATGTTGCGTTTCAGGATAAAATTCTTTAAATGGCTTACGGAATACGGGATTGAGTGAATGTTTTAATCAGGGAACATTTCTTTTTGGTTATGTTTGTTCTTAGACTAACGCAGATGTGGAATGGAAATTTGCTCGCGCAGTAATCGCTGATGAATATGGAAGACATCATCCCATTGTTGTTCCTTTCAACATCATCACCTTCCCTATCTTTCACTGTTATATCAAGAAGTACGGAGACAGCCGAGCAGAGGTTAGGAGAGGCTAGCTGAAGATAATTTCCTAACCCGGAATCAGTCTTAGCTAACGAATATGCATATACACGATGTCATCCTATTCCTCTCCCTCACTAATATTAATGTTCTATATACTTACGACGTCTTGTCTCGTGTGGAAAATAAGATATCTCGCCCCCAAGGTGCATAATTTAGACATTTCCCCCCTCTCTGAGTGTATTACGTCTTCACAGTCTTTTCGCCCCTTTCGTTGTAAGGCCCCCCAACTGATAATTATTGCACAAAGGCCTTAACATGACAAACTCGTTATACCTACCGTTACCGAAAACATATCAGTTTCATCGCATTTCATTCATGAAGACCACCTTTTGTTAATTAGCCATTATTGGGTATGATCTGAAGAATTATTCCAACTTATGCAGATCGGGAGGGTGTAATCCACCTCTGCCCGCATAATTAGTGAGAATATATGAAAGCCGAATCCACAATTGCTTTATTATATTCATTTATTATAAAATAATTCTTACTTTAAAAGACATGCCATCCCTTGATCGGTTAGTTTCCGTCTTCATTTGCCTGTTACTCGGCATCATGAAACTGTCCATCTACCCCTCCCCTAAGCCAACATTCACACTTACTTCTCTCTTAGGGCAAAATGTTGGCTTAGGGGAGGGGTAGGAAGCAAATTCAAATAAAAGGAGATGTCCTTTGGCTAGCAGATCTCCTTCAATTAGCAGTTGTCACCCTTCGAGTTGTATTTTCCGTTTCTTGCTATTTCTTCTTCGTAAAACGTGAGAAGTCTACGAACCTTTCCACCATTTTCTCCAGCTCCACTGAACCAGGGGCCCGTTTCTCGAAAATCGCGATAGCTTTTCGGGCTAGGAAAACTGTTTCCTGTTTGCCGTGTTTGCATTCAAGATCAAAGTTTCGGTAATTCTGAAAATGATTCAATGAAACTATCAGTTAACAAATCAAAATTGCATGTTTGGTTTGTGAACTAGGAACTTTGCTACTATTCAAAAGGTTCTGATTTTTTTCGGGCCCGAAATGTTTCCGGGCCTTTCGAGAAACAGGCCCCAGCTCAGCTAACACGCCCTCGTTCCCAGGGCTTCTCGGTTGTCGTCACTTTTTTCTGGCAATAGCCTTTACTATTGATGTCGTTTTATTGGATGTCGCAAATGTCTTCCGAATTTGGTCAAAGCTAACTGGTTATGAAGAATTAGGGCCAGTTCATTCGTCGTGCTTGTACTGTGCCCAACTCAAGTAATGTAATTGGTTTAGAGACCTTGTGCTTCTGCCCTGCTTTTGTCAAACTTAATTCAAGAATTACGATCGGCACGGCGGAAGCACGATGAATGAATTGGGCCATAGCCCGGGGATTTGAGCCAATCAGAAACGGAAAAAAACTGACTGACTGATAATGAGATTTAACCTCTCCAAAACGGAGACCCTACACATTTGCCGCACAATACTGACTTAGGATCTCTTTCTAAATGTCTCATGTATGTACTTTTGCAGTTTTTTCGAAAGATTGGGTACGGTTTCAGTAAATACAACTTTATTAGGAAATGTGACTTAAATGCTTGACTAATCGCAAATCATTGTTTTTGGCTTCAGCGGGCTAAAGACCACCGCAGGATTTATCAAAAATTTTATAATAAAGATCTTTTCCCTAAAATCACGAAACGTTACCAAGAGAAATACGGAGAAGCCTTTCCTATGTCAGGTGAGAACAAATAAGTTCAATCAAGAAAGAATAATTTTAAGTTCTAAAAAACTGATCTTCAATGGATTTGTCTTGCTCGAGGTACGACAACATCCTTAAACGCCAATTCAGTCAATTTTATAGACTTTGAAACTGTGTTTACACCAAACCTGTACAATAACGATTATTATACGTTTTCGCATGGTGTGCTCAAATGAACAGTTTAGATTCTTGGTACTTTGCCAGCATCCTTGGAAATTAAATGAGAAGCTCATCCTTCGATCATCCTTTAGATTCTCTCTGTCAGTTCCTAAGAAAGCTAATCGATACAGGACAGCAAGCAATTAAGAGAACAAAATTTTGCATTTTGTTGATAAATATGCACCTCACTCAGTAAAAATGAAACTCTTTTAGCACATCGAAGGCTGGGATGTAGATTGGATAGTTGTGACTGAGAGTGTTTTGCAAGGCTTTAAAGATTCTATTTAAATTCTTTTTATTTATAGTTCAAGCAAAAGTGGACCATTTGCAGAAGAACGTGAATGAAATAATGGTGAAGCTTGATGCAATACTAAAAAGAGTAGGAGGAGAATTCCAACATCGGGTAAGCAGAGTTTTTCAGGTCATGCCGTCTAGAAAGACCTTTTTCCGATAAACGCTGAGGAAGACGTTCCTACGCAGTGGGCCACTGCCTTAAAAGCGTTGCGCAGTAATTAAGGATCGCATATATTTTTTCTAATTTAACTGTAGGGCCAGACATCGATGCAAACTTCAAGAAATTTACAGAAGGCTGCGATTTCCTACCATTCGGCTGCTTAACCGAAATTGAGAAGAAAGACATGGTAGACCATACAAGACAAACGGGCTCAAGGATGCCATTGATAAATAAATCACTAAATTAATGTAACATTGATCTAAAATAATGAAACAAACGCAGGTGCCCAGTTTGTTTAATCTTCAATTTTCACATTATGTTTAACGCCCCTTGAACTTTAAAAAAAATGCATACCTATCTATCTCACATTCCCGTCTTTTATGACTTAACATCAATGTTGGGATAGCTCGAGCGTTTCAAGTTTCCTTTGTACCTACTGCGATTTTATTTATACAGGCATGCAGAGAAAAACAAGCAAAGACCTCTTAAATTCAAACGTAGAGAGCTAAGTCTAATAATTGACTCCATTTTTCTCAAATAACGTAGGGTCGCCGCGATCTATCCTGCGTAGCTGGCGGGATTCTTGTGCCCGGGGATACTTTCTTGCTAATCCCGCCAGTGCGCAGGCTAGCCGTGATCGAGCGCTTACTTGAATAACAGTCAGGAATCAAGTTATATTGAAAAGTATTTCGCGCCTCAGTTTCTTCCGTTTGACAACGTTCAATGTATCTACTTGTTCACAGTGTGGTTAGCCTGCGAAAACATCCGTTTCTCCTCGCTCTTCGCCGCCGGGGACGTTTCGCGAGGAGAAACGTCTGAGACTCAGCGGCAGAAATTCCATACCGATGACGCAATCCAATTTCTCTGCGCGAAACGTCCCCATCGGCGAAGAGCGAGGAGAAACGGGTGTTTTCGCAGGCTACGGTGTGGTGTATATTTGCCTGGACATAACACTATTAATCTTGTTAACATCATTTGCTAACGCTGTTTTGAGTGATTGTCAACTTTGATTTTGCAACAAAAATAGAGCGAAGGTTGTGGTCAAATATGGCTAACAGTTGTACAAAGGTAGCTTTGACGCGCATTAGATCAAACACCCATATTGTTACCTTTAAGGTGAAAAACTCTACGACTGTCACTCAGAGCCAGCACATCTGATACCTTTGCCAATTAGTTCGTTCTCAGTTCAACTTTATTAATTACTACCTTTGACGCGAAACAAACAGGGGCGCCCAACGACTGTTTCCTCCCAAATTAATATTCATGAAAGGCCTTTTTAGGTTATCCAGTATTTTCAGACCTCTAGAAATGCATTCTAAACGGCGATATAAAATTTGTGAGATCTGTTCGGTCATCCTAGGGGAACTTATCAGTCTTTTAGAAATTACAGGGGCTTCAGTATTATTTTCCCTGAAATTTTAGATACAATTTAGCGCAATACGGAAAAAAAAAAATTAATTCCTCTCTCCATCACATTTTTGAATCCGGAAATTTTAGGTTTCCTTTTTCCTACAAAAAATAGCCTAACCTGGGGAGTGAAAGTTGAAAAATTAAACTTCTGAAAATCGCAGAATTTTTTAGATAAGCTTTGAAAATTGTACATGGATGCAATGGTCATCGAGTAATAGGCAATTATTTGCTTCTCCGAACAGATAATTTACAGAAAAAAGCCGTTGGGTGCTCCTGACCAGAGGTTAATAGGTTTATTAACACATTTTGTAATGTATGTAAGACTGATGTGGCCCTGTTGCTGAAACGATGGATAGCGCTATCCACCTGATAAATCATTGTCCAGTCAGGGATAATTGTTAAGGCCGGGAACCAATTGTGCTATCCACTAGATTAAGATTTATCCAGCAGCGTATCGCCTTATCCAGGTTTTGAGCGACTGGGGCCAAATCTGTAAACGTGTGGATGTCTTGAAAATTTCCATAAGTAGCAGACAGCTGGACCTATCTAGTAAAGAAATAAAAAATGCAAAACATATATGAAATCAGCTGTTGACTGAATAGTGTGTTATTGGAATTTTTAATAGCAAAGTCAGTTAGGATCCTTACTAAGCAAGTGTAGAGCTCCTCGATGACTTTGAGAAATCGATCACCCAGCGTACAAACGAAGAGCGTAAGATAAGCACTTAATTGGTAAATCCCCAGCACCTGTTCAGTGATATATTTTTTTTTTTTCAACGAAGGACACAAATTACTAGGAAACAAGAAAGTTAAGAAAATGGACAAAAAGACAAGAAGAATTTAACAAAAAAAAGCGCGAGATCGTTATTACAATCGGCATAATTGTATTCAAGCGCTTGCGCTGGAGGAATCTCCAACTTACACGAAAACAGACTCTTTTGCCTTTAACTAGAAATCCCTAGGTTGTATGAAGTACCACGTATGGGGAGCATAAAAGCTGAATGGGGAGCAGAAAAACGTGAAATTTCACTATCACTACTTCAACATCTTCGCAACTGAAACTTGTACTCGACTAAAATGCTTGCGCAAAGTTTAATGATGGGACACAGTGTGTTCTCTTAATATGGGCATTATGGGATGAGGTGGAACTGGCGCCGACTGAGTTTTATATAGACGACTCATGCATTTAATTTTTTTCTCTCGTCTTGGCTCGTTTATCTTCATGCATGCTCGTTACAGCATACGGATCGTCTTTCGTAGAAG